AGCTGAAGCTGGTGTGAAAACGGCTGTGAAACTACTTTAAGCTGCACATCCTCTATTGCCTGACAGAGGAACTCCAAATGTGAACATCTACAGTCAAGTATGTATAAGTATCTGTAGTGGTTGTAATAAAATGTTTATCATACTTCAGCCCTCTTTTCTCAACAAACTGTTGTTACTGTGTGAAGCTTTCACTGTGAGGATTTACAACATTATAGAACAATATTTCCATCATGTTTTATAGATTTTCATTCTAGCCTAAACATAAAATGTAAGTGGAAATCAATCTAACACTGTTTCCTAGATTTCCTAGTTTCTCATAATAAAAGGAAACTAAAAAAAAGACTTTAGACAGAAAATATATATTTTTCTTTTTTTTCAGCCAGCTGTGTCACAGTTCTGGTCCTGGCCCTGTTATTTCTGTGAGCTGATATTCTTTCTCCAGCTGTCCAAAACACCCGTTTACTCTTCCCTCATAAGTGCCCGCTATCTGTTTTTCTTTGTCCTCAGTCAGATCGTCCACTGTGTCCAAGCCTTAGAGTTCCTGCCATTCCTGTTTTCCTTGCATGAACCCTCTTATGAATTTTCCTATCTGTTTTTGGACTCATGCACTTGGTCAGTCTTGGTATTGATTTTTTGTTTGGTCTCTTTTTGGATTCCATTTGCCACAGTCACTAAACACTGGCTGAGGTGGATGGCAAGCATACACACAGTAGGACTATCACACTAGGAACCTGGGAGCACTTTTGGAGATAAAAGCACTTTGGTTACTTTTGCCCACCAATGCAGAAACCATAACAGTCCCTGGAAACTATCTTTGTCTGGAGGCCCTATTGAACTGGTAACATTTATAAAAGGAAAGTCGAGGAAGGGTTGTTTTCCTGTAGCTGCCTGCACTAGTGAAATGGCTTGTTGGTGACATTATGGCTATCACAGAAGGTATACAGCAGTAAGAGTATGGACTAGAAAATGTCATTATAAACTGGAAGATAATTGTGAAATGCAGAAAATGTGTTAAATTAGTGTGCCACAAGTCTTTCAGAGTAATTTTCTCCATCATTACAAAGATATAAAGCTTAGTTGTGACATTTTCATAATGGCCAAATGTACCGTAGGTCATAGTTGCACAATCACGAGGGCTGACTCATACTGAGTGTGTTTGTAACCCACCACCCTGCTTTTAAAATAACTCCTGTAACAGCGATATGTTACAAGTGGCATTGTGTTGAGATCACTGGTCAGGATGACCTTTGTCGCTTTGTAAGCTCTTAGAGCACCTCTTTGACCACACTAACCACATTCTGACTTCTGCCCAAGGTTTTCTATCTGTGACAGAATGATGCAAAAATTTGAAGCAGGTCGATGGGTTGTGCAGTAATTCACACTCTTCTGTTGGAGCAGTTCATTTCAGTTGTCACTTCTGGAGCATTTAAGAAAGAGCTCCATTTAAGTTGGGGTGTGAGGGCAGGCCTTCTCTCCACTTAGAGAAAATAGACAAAAAGATTTTAAATTGCCACCCCCTTGGTGCTATTAATTTAATTTCCACCATATTCACATTTTCCTACCATTTAGTGAACTGCTTTGTGAGAATTGAGAAAACTCAGTAATACGGTACATAGCACAGTAACAGCAGCACTACAAACTAAGTAACACCTGCTTGCAAAAACTACAAACAAAATGAATCCAACAAAGTCAGCACATGAATTACATCAGATTTGATTAAATAGAGTAAAATTTAAATAAACTGCTGTAAAAATCAACTCTTTTTTTTAACCAACTCTTCTTTTTGTGCACTACATAAATCAGTATTAACACAGTTCACATTTTAAAAAATAAAATGAAAATGACAAATACCAAAACATCCAGTCATTTATGTTTAAGTAATTTGTGTTACTTCCAGGTTAACTTGATTGTGAGCATAGACTTGTAAGCTTCCTGATCAAACATACCAACACTGAAAAGTGCATGTGTCATGTCTTGGGGTCCTTGGAAAAGATTCAGCCAAGACCCCAAGGATAGATTAACTCCACACACTCAGTCATTTCCCCTTTTGCATTGCATCCTTCAGACTCGCAAAGCAGCTATGTCTTGCTGATATTCTTCCTCTCTGTGGGACTACACTTGTGCATCATGGTCAGATGCAGATATTGATATAAATCTGATTTTGCCAATTAATGCCACCAGTGCAAAACAGCACATGGATTTGTCATACAGTATCAAACCGGATCGTGCTCCAGTTATACCAACTATTTTCACTGGCACCTGAAACTTGTAGGAGAAAATACAAGAATTCAAAGCAGACCAATCACAGTTAAGGCTGTTACTTGACAAAAACCTACCGTATAATCAATTAATAATTCCTAAAAGAGATTCTGTAAGTTTAGATGACTGATTAGATGACTGATGGATGACTGTAAAAGAAAGAAGAGAAGTACATATGTTGTGTATTGTAGAAGGCGGCTGCCTTGGTTCTAAACTTGCCAGGTTATAAAACAACAACTATATACTGTTTGCAACTAAAACACATAATAGGCACTTTGCTATGTAAGATTCTCTTGAATTATTAATGAAAGAGAGCAAAAGTGTGTCTGCTTACCTGAATACAGCACACTACATCATCTCTCAAAAACTCTCAGTTGGAGGCTGATAATTAAACTGCCTCATTGTTGACTCATACTACTAGCATAGCTACATTTTCTCACCACACACATTCATTTCAAAATCACTGAAAAGCCCAGCATGCTCACGACATGGAGGCTGCATTTACAGTTCCTGGTCCCCCCCCCCCCAAAAAAAACTATTCAAAACATATATCAGTGAAGCACAGCACCGCACTGGGCGACTTATTTCTTCATCAGCAAACCTGTGAAGGCCTCAGTCCTGGCCTTCACCATGTGAGGACCTAAACCACCACCAGCCATGGACTTGGGTGGGTAATTCATATTAGACATACACAATTGATCAATGAGCATGCACGTTTGATTAATTTTGTATTGTTAATGTTTACCTTTTCTTTTGAGTTACCATGTTTCCTGGTCCATGGATGGGGGGGCAGTTCAGCTAAAAGATTGGACTGATGAAGCAGCAGGTTTAAATACCTCCCACTAGGCCTGGACTGCACCAAGTGCCCAGTACAAGAAAGGGGGGAGTTTGGGAGAAATTTATTGTTTATTTGTTGGTAGTTTATGTTAGAACTTTATTTGTCAAGTTATGTTAATTTCTTTATATTTAAAGGAAATATTTAGTTGAGAGCAGGCTGTCTGTTTAGTGTTTATTAGTTGATTGCTTTGGTAGTGTCTTTAGTTTACCCCCTTGTGTGTGTTATTGGTTTGGCCAGCCAGTATATATGTTCCCCTGTGTGTGTGTGTGTCTCATTTGCTAGGTCAGTTGGTTTTGTTGGGACAGTTCAGTTTGCTGTAGTTTGAGTTTCCTTATCGTTTGTTGACCTCTTTTAGGGCCCAGTTTATTTGATGTTAATTTTGTATTTTTCTTGTTTTTGGGTTAATAAAAACCCTTTATTTTGAACTTTGGAAGCTGTGTCTTTTTTGCCTTACTGCTTGGTCCCTGACAAAACCCAAGACCCAAACAAATCAGCTTGTGCAAGATCTTGCACATGTGCAGCCGACTCTGACTTGTACTGACTTCAGAAAATTATGGCTGCTCAAAGCTTTTAATTGTTTTTGGACAACAAAGGAGGTCTATCGCACAGACAGACAAGTCAATCCAGGACTGACAACTGACAGACATCAACCATGAGTAGAGGCAATTTGTCTGTTTTAGTCTATTAAATGCTATTAATATAAAAAAATGACCAGCCTTGTCCTTTAATAGTGAATATGCAAGCACCCATGTTCGTGCAGCTTTTCATTTTAAAGCTTTTACTTCAGCTGAACACCAGTGTTTGCTGTTTAGAATAAGCAAAGACATTTCTGTGCCTCATGCCAGTTTAACCTCGCATGTCAGTAATGTCACTTACATGGCTGAACCATTACTTATGGAAGATGAAACTACAGTATAAGGAGACATAAAGTTGCAAAGATTTTATTTTGGCATTATTTTATCTGTTGCCCATGATGCAACAAACAAACCAAAAAAAAACCCAGCAGAACTGATTCAATACTTCCAGTGATAACATGTCTAGCACAGTTTCATTTTTCTTCATATTACTGTGTACATGTACAAACCTTTAATTATTTTCACATGTTTAGACATAAAACATTTTGTTTACAACACTAAGCACCCACATTATATTTTCAGCACATTTAAAGGCCATAGTAATGTTTTTACTGCAATGCTTAAAGAACAGTTTATATAATTATGCTGTGCTACAATGAAATACCATATGCGCGTTAAAAACAGCTTAACACACAATTTTTAACAAGTAATATCATTTTTCTTCCATTTAAAAGTATCATTTGGCTGTGTGGAAACACAAATATATGCTTCTTCAACTCAGTGCTTTTATTCCTTTTTATTCCAGATGCTCTGAAAACCACCTGCATAGCCAACAGTTCTGATTCTGCACTCTGAAATAAGAAAGTGGGGGAAAAAACCCATTCTTAACTACTTGAGTAATGTTAAATGAAGTGCAGCAGAAAAATTGATGCACCTGCAGGGGTGTGTGTTTGTGTGTAAGAAATACACTTTCCTGCAACTCCTATTATGAGCTGGTATCCTTAGAAATGTTAAATTTAATCTCATTATTTGGATGCCTTTTAACATTTGTTGTATCTCTACTAAAGCATCAAGTTGAATCTGAATGGTTGTATTTCAGGCTGGTTAATGATGAACTGGAAACCAAGCAGATCACAACTCTCAACAGGTCTCAGCTCTTCCTCAGTACAAATAGATAAACCACCACTGATTCTTCTTTGACTTTGAATTCTGGTACCATGGAAGCCTTTTCTAATTTACTCTCCACACCGTTTGAAGCATCTAATAGACCTGAACTTAGCTGTAATACTGACTTTCTGCACAGGTCCTAACAGTTTGAGAATTTTAGATCAACACATTTTTTGTCCCCTTTTCCACTGAATCAGCTCTAGTGTAAACACACTCATATACATTTTCCATGTAAGAAATAAACCTATCATTGATCATTTTCTCCATTACATGTCAAAGCAATAGTTCAACAATTCTCTGGGTTGCTGTAATCATTCCCTGGTTTTTTTATTGGTACTATTGTACTTTTCTCCAGTATTCTGGCGACTTTCCTTTTCCCCACACTTTATTATACAATTCTAATAAGATATCTTTAGATACTTCACTAAGGTGGTTTATTAGTGTATTACAAATTTGCTCCTTGCCTGGTTAGCATCCTTGTTTTCTGCACACTTAGGACATGTCTGCTTTCTCTTGGAATCCTCAGCTACATGCTCATATCTTTTGGCATTTCTAGCAGTGGAGATGGGGTGGAACATATAGTATGCTGTCAATGGAAAGTTCATATCTAATTCTGAACAGAAACCTGAAACTAACAGCACAGAGGAAGTGTCAGTTTTCTCACATTCAGTAATCTCTTTAGTGATAGAGCTACTCCTCCTTGAATGGGACCCATTATCACATACAAGTTACATACGACATGCAAAGTGCATACATTATCACCACATGGCCAGAATGAATGACTGGATTTTTTTTTGAATGTTTTCTCACAGGTTAAAGCTTTAGAACTGAATAGGATGCACTTTCTTTTTCTTCAATCCAAACACGTATTGTTCCTTTGGAAACAATACATCATTTGTTCTTTTTTTTTTGTGGTGTTTGTTTAGTTTTTACCACAGCATGATACCATGAGGAGAAAAGCAAATGACTCAAAGGACAATCTAATTATTGAGGGATGCAACTACCTTCTGTAGTATTTGAAAATACCATACAAAAACCTTGATGAAGGTGCAGACCAAAACATTCTGCCTTTATTTTTAGATGATGCCACTGAAGTAAAGAAAAATAAGTCTGCCTGTGTGCGGTCCTCCTTCAAATGATCAAGAGTTCCAAGGCTACCAGTACCAACTTAAATGTGATGGGGCTGAAGTGCTTTTTCTCTTGGCATAATGAAATCCTAAAATCGGATTATTCTCAAATAATGATGCCATTCCTCACATAGTGGCAGCTGTAGTCCAGTCAGCTCACAGTCACAATGGGCTCCACTGAGAGGATGTCAGTTCTTCCTGTGTTGGCCTGCCTGGCAGCAAAAAGCACATGTGTGTCTTTCAGATTGTGGGACTGACTTAAAGAGGCATGGCTTTCCTGCGATGAAGCCTGCTCTGGGTGAGACAAAGCATGGTTTGGCCTCAAGGACTCGTGGTGGTCAGGCCAGGCAATCCTGTGAGGAGCAGCACAGTTTGCTGCTGGATGAAGCTCGGGTTCCAACCCAACCACCGCCCTCCTTCTCCTCCTGCACATGTCGAGGAGGAGCCGGAGCTCCTGGCGGAAAGTAGGATTCAGACAGCAGTAGATGAAAGGGTTGTAGCAGGTGGAGCTCATAGCCAGCCAGTGAAAGCAGAAGTAAAGGGCGTTGGAGGACTGGATGGCCTGGCTCGAGAGCAGCACTACGTAGCAGTTAAGGGGGAACCAACAGACAGCGAACACCCCAACCACCAGCAGCAGCATGGTCAAAGTCCGCCGGCGTTTTCTTCTCTGGGTGGCGTGCTGAGCTGTTGTTGCATCACCGATGGCATTGTGGCGCCACAGCCGGCGAGCGACTGTGGTGTAGGAGGCAGTGATGATGAGGAGAGGCAGCATGTAAAGCAATATGAAGGTCAGAAGGTCAATATACTGCCAGTAGACATCCGATGGCTCTGGAAAGTCTGGGACACACATGCTGCGCTCCTTCTCCTTACTGCAGAGGAGAATAACCGTGCAGAGAATGCAAGAAAGGAAGACAAATAAATGAATGGGGTAAGAAAGTAAAGAAGGGGAGTATCACAGGCCGTTCACACATACAGATTCAAAAAGCTGCTATTGTACTGAGCGCGACAGACTTAAACAGCTGGGTACAATACAGGGGAAACTTGAGAAAGGCTTATGAAAATAGCTTCTGACGCAGTGCAAGTAACAGACAGGCAAGAGCCGATCATCAACACGAACAGAGAACAGATTTGTTAACTACTTCATTTGACTACACAGCAGGATTTTGAACAAACAGGAAAAGCTGTTTCTGGCTTCCCGCTTCTCTACCAACTGTCTTTAAAAAGCTACTGGGAAATAAAGAAGAACAATGTGTGGAAACAAATCAGTGGCATTATTGGTGGACTTGGCAGCGGCAGATATGTTGGAAAACAACTGTCCATTTGAAGCACAGTATAATTACGTACGCAACGCGACACACCCCCAGAGCTTAAGGGCACATGAGGTCACAAGAAGAAAAAATTAGAGGTTCAAGCACAAAATGGTTGAAGAAGAAGAAATAAGGTTAAAGTCATTTATGCCAGAGAAAATATTGGCACCTTGACAGGTTGTGCATGCCTAATCTAATATCTTCTGCAAATGTTGCACAGCAGAGCATGTATATGTAGCCCATAATAATAATGAAAGCATGTGATGTAATTTGGAAGAAAGATATGAGAATAAGTTATTTTAACTTTGTGTTTTATCCTAGCCTTTGTTTCATTTTATAGTTTATGTTCAATACTATGTTTACTTTTATTTTGTAGGTTTTGAGGGTTTTGTGTCCATGTCTCATATTGAGCTGAATCTATGTGCTGCTGTGTGTTTGCTTGGATGCTTGTTCAGTATGTGGAAAATTGTGTTAACTGTAAATGATTTTATCAAATGTAAGACATGAAGTTTTGGCAAAATAGTTTTTTTGATACAGCGTTGTCTTTATTCTTCTGTGGGTGGATATCTGCTGGTTCTTCATCCTCTAATCTTCTCTGCCACATCTGCTTTCCTACATTTTTAGTCTTGCCATGCATAAATTAAAGTAGTTAACAAATCTGTTCTCCGTCAACATGTCTGATCAATATTTCTTGCTAAATTGTTCAAGTCAACTGGTCTTTGGATGCTGCCATTTAAATATGATTGTGAGCTGACATTCCACGATAGAGCCAAGACTCACTTCTCCATTGCTACAATGACACAACTCCAAAGATGCTTCAGGTCAAGTGAGTGCAGTCTAATCACCAAACTCTTTATTATACACATTTTATCATATTGAAATGTGTGTGGTATATTACCTGTATGTAAAAGTCAGGAGCTTTTGGTAGATTGCATGTGGGAGGGAGAAGCAGCTTGCCATTATCCAGATAACAGCGACCCAAACACCACCATGAACCAGGGACATTCGAGGTCTCAAAGGATGTAAAATCACCTGAGAGAAAAAGCCCAACAAAGTCAGCACAAACACAGACCCACTGGATAAATACATAAGATGCACAATCCGTCCAAATCTGTTAATTCATTTTGGGGTTGAATATCAGCTCCAATTCCTTTTCATCGGTGAACCACTAAAGATACTGAAATGACCCCATTTCAACTAGAAACCCACCAATGCCCAAGGAACATTTTTACTGGAGCTAAGGTCAATGTGTGAAGCAGAGTAGGCAAGGTTCTTTACTGATAGCCCAGGCTCAAGTCAACCAGTTGATCAGCAGGTTGCAATACTAAAACATTTTTGGGTGAGTGTTGTGGAAAATTGCTTATTTTGATTCTGGAAACTTAAAAAAATACCAGTACTCACGGGTGCTGAACAGTGTTTGTCAGTATAGGAGAAAAAAAAAATACACAGCTCAGTTTTTCCTCAACAAACCATGAATTTGTAGAGAAAATCAAAAGACAAAGAAACCTTCTCCTTCTGGCTAACAAATGTTATGTTCGTCTGAAAATCAAATATTTTTAACCTATAGAATCCCTTCATCAGAGGTTTTTACCATTTAAAGTAAAGTAACCCTAAATCTAGCCCCCAACGTAAGCCTCCGGCAGATTCTGAGACACTACAGTTGGTGGCATAACCACACCTTTAGCTGTTCAGGGTGCTAAAAAGGGGCGCAAGAATGACGTACTCAGAGGAGGGACACCACCACATCCAGTTTGTCGGGGAAAGCAGGGCAATAGTAGATTTAAGCCAAGAGCTCCATCAGTTTTCTGGGAGTGGAGCATGAGATTTTGACCTTGGCTGAAAACTTCTGTGCCTATAGCAAGACCGTTTCCACAGCCCTCTGTCCTGTGGTTCAGCAAAGCCGAGACAGCACTCCTCATCAAACTGACCGCCCCGGGGGAAGAGGCAATAGAGGCCAATTTTGAAAGAAAGAAGCTGAGATACTCAGGTCTTAAATCCATGTTCTTTATAGTGAGTCTGGAGATACCATAGTGTACCAAATGAATGGATGCATCAACCAGCACTCAGGTAGATAATTTATTAGGGAGGAAAAAAAGGTTATTGTTAAAGCACACTAACAAAATTTACTCTACCCTTCACTAAAAGCATGAGATATTTGTATTTAAGGATTTAAGGATAAACTATTTGTGTTAATGGCTATTTCTTATATGTAGCTATAACAATTTTTTCCAGAGGGGCATGGATTGTGCAGGCATGTACAAATAAATAAAATTAATCCAAAAGTATCCATAACAGTCCATTACAAGTAAAATGGTATGAAGCAGAACTGTTCCTTTCAGTGTACAATTTGATCTGCATTATTGATGCATTCATTTGTAAGAAGCACTTTAATATTATAGTTGGTCGAAGTGGAGCTAATTTTAGCTGATTCATAAATTGTTGGAACATGGAAGGACTTCTGCCTATTTTCCATCTAAATAAATGAAAAGGGCTGCATTGAAATCTGTGACATCTTTATACATTTTCCTCCAGCACTTGTCTGAGTTGCATTTGTCTTATTTAACTGTACAATTGCTGTAGTTTAGGTAAGCGTTTTATTGATACTTTCCACTGGTGAACTAAAAATAAGCTAATGAAGCAGTTCAGACTGACAGAATGGAAATTCAAGGATAGATTCACAATTTGTATGTCCGTCTTAGAGCGGAGGATCACGACTACTACAGCAGGTTTTGCTCTGTATAATCACTTCCCATGTTCATATTGGCTGTGAAGAAATGTACGTTTCCAAGGCTTCAGAAGTCTGAGTTAGACAAATCAAAAGAAGGATCGTTCAAATTAAGAGTCTTTTTAGTACCAAGTTCACTGTGTTCTTTACCTACAGTGCAGCTCAGAACAGACACATTGTCCAAGACAATACAAAAAGGCACTTTTGAACTTAGTCTAGCCCCATATAAGCTTCATACACCAATACATTTCTTTCATGAAACAAAGACTGTGTGTCCCCCATCACGTACAAAGTGCATTAAGAAGGACTCTTTTAATGGCCAGTATGAGCAGGAGAAATGCTTACAGCAATCAAAAACCTTTTTCCACTGTTCATATGGGCACCTGACTATTGGTTTAAGACAGAGTGAATACTTAGCAGACAGCGATGTTCTTCCAAATGTGCTTCTTGGTGGAAAACAAACTTTGCAGAAGGAAAAGCTTGCTGATAGTTAAGTTTTTCCATTTATGGTTATATTAAGGCCATGTATATAGACATTTGTCCTGCACTTTAGAGGCATGTAATGAATAACAAACAATAGAAGAGAAAGAACCACAATCGAGAAATCCTCTATTGATAATTGTCACCAAAGTCTGGCTCCAGTAGACTTTAAATATGGTTTGATCAATAGAGTGCCGTAGGGATGATGCTTTATTTGTAGGCCTACCTGGAAGTTAGCATCACCCTGGTTCCTTTCACAAAAAGCCAATGGGATTTTTCCATAAGCTTTTGGAATATTGTGGGAAAATAAGCTCTGTGGCAAAGCAACAGTTTAGGACACGGACATATTTTCTTCAGCAATATAACTGTCACAGGTTAACACCACTTTTAGGATTTTTGAAGTCCAAATACAATCACTAGAAGTAAAAAGCTATTGTTAGGTTATAAACAAACTACAGCACAGTCCCATGACTTCAATGTCCAAAAACCCATTCACTTCAGGCTTGCCTGGTATAACTTCTCCTTATCCATCCATCCATTTTCCTCCGCTTATCCGGGACCGGGTCATGGGGGCAGCAGTCTAAGCAAAGATGCCCAGACTTCCCTCTCTCCAGACACTTCCTCCAGCTCCTCCGGGGGAATGCAGAGGCATTCCCAGGCCAGCCGAGAGACATAGTCCCTCCAGCGTGTCCTGGGTCTTCCCCGGGGCCTCCTCCCGGTGGGACATGCCTGGAACACCTCCCTAGGAAGGCGCCCAGGAGGCATCCGAAACAGATGCC